CTGTGACTGTTTTTTGGGCAAAGTGTCTGGAAAAAAAAAACAGCAACTTGGCAATCCGGGCGGGTTTGGTTGGCTTATGCCCCGAACGAGGGCGTTGCTTCCAACCGGCCCGAACGGTGGGGCTTCGGTGCCCATTCGTTGGACAGCGCGGCCTCCGGTTTTCCGGTTTTCCGGAGACCCTTTTTGGGATCCGAACACCCTGGCCGACGCCTTTTCTCCCAGATCCGAAGCCGACACAAAGCTAGGTCCCCCAGCCAGGCCCCCTTGCTCTCCCCTTTTTTGGTTGGGAGGGCTCCCCTACTAAAGTAGACAGAAAAAGAAGAAGAAACAAAAACTCAAGTCTGGCTTCTAACCCCCCAGAGGCTCCTGGGGCTTTCAATGGAAGACCCGACCCCTCCATTAGACACCCCGGAGGTGGTTGGGGGTCTCAAAACCAGGTTGTGAGAAGGCCCTAAATCAATCGGGAGCCTCTGGGCCCTCCAATCTGGAGGGCCTAGACCCGAAGCCTCCACCTTCCCCCAAAACCCCCCCTGACGCCAAGAGCTGAGGACTCCATGGGGAAAGTCCCCGTGGATCCGAAGGAGCTGATCTCCCTTGGGCCAGGGCGCCCCAGAGTACTCACTCTGGGCGTTTCGCTGGGGATTTTCCGAGGCGTTTCGGTCGGGGGGGGAAGTTTGAGTTGGGTGAACGCTACAACATGGTTGTTGGGTTGGGAAACATCTTGCTTATTTTTGCTTATTGCGGGTTAGTGGTTGAAATCCAACCACTTAACTGCTAAAAAATCCTTTTTTGGCTCCCCTTCCAACCTCAACCGAGACAATTCACCCCGTGAACAAGGGAAATATCACTGGAGGTTTTGTTGCAACGGATGATTAGACATGCTACAAGGTTGGCACTACCCTGGCTCCGAGCTCTCCTTTGTTTTTGTTGGGACGAGCTCGATGCTTGAAATGTCAATGGGAAAGGCCTCAAACAAGCCGGTGGCGGTTGTCGGTTCCACAAGGCTCAGGACCCAAATGAGGCCCGAGGCGCGCAAACAACCCAAAAACGTCTTGTTGCATCCTCTGAGTGTTGCATAGCCCGAGAGACTTGTCTCGAGTTGTTACATGTGGGTTTTTTGCGAAATACCCCCTCCAACCCCACCAAGGATACCCCCAAAGGCCTATTGTCCTGCTGGACATGTTCCGAGATGGGAGGTAGAAGGGGCTGCTTCAGCATGCGTGCTGGTCCTGCCAGTTTCTGAGGAGGGTGTGGTTTGGAAAGGGGAATTGCATTCCGCTGTCCCCAAGTGAGCTGCATTGAAGACGAATGCAAGCTTGCCGGTGTTGCCGCCCTCATGCAACCGAAGTTCTCTTGTTCCTGGCTGTGTCCCTACTGGCGCAATTTTTTGTCATAAGGGTCATTCCTTCCAGCAGAGCATGTGGGGAATGAACCTGGGGATTCTCTTGGAAGCCATAGGGGATGCTTCATAGGGCTCACTCTTGCCCAGAGCAAATGAGAAATCTGAGACTTTCAGCTCTCAAGCGCCTCTTAGCCTGGCACCACCCTCTTGGCCCTGCTCCGTCGCAAGCAAGGCTTCAGCTGCCGACGCTGAAGCTGAAGCAACAGGAGTTGCCGGGCAGCCCGGCTTCCAGGGTCCATCGCCCTTCTGGTGGGTTTCTAGGCGCGATCCGCATCGCCATAAGTAGAAATAGGAGCGAAGCAAAAAGGCTGCACTGGCAAGCCGTTTGTCCTTCCAGGGCTGAAATCAACCAACCGCTATGTGTGTATATATATATATATATATGTATCTATATATATATATATATTATATTTATGCGCAGATATTGAGACGACTTTGCCGGAGAGTATGTCATATGCGCAGTCAAAGCCGCAGTAGCTCAGAAGCGACAAGCAGTGCGGGGCCTTTTTCGGGACCTGTAAATGACAATCCCTGTGTTCCTCGTGCTGCTTGTACTGTGGATGGACAAAATCCTTTGTTCCTCACACGGCTTCATCAATTCCAGCTGGTGCGAAGTGGATTTGGTCCATACGATTTACGGCTCTAACAGGATTCGGGACCGCCATTTCCCCTCAACTCTTTAAGCATCGCTTTTTGGGCCAATCAGCAAGTTTCACTTGGGTGGGGTGATGTCAGGATTTAAGCAGACTCAATTCCTGAGTTCATTGACTTAAACAACTTTTTGGGAGGGCCATTCTATTTGAAAACACCAAGTTGTGACTTTTTGATGGGCCATCCACTCATGAAGTGAGTCTAGGTAACCCCTGCTTCAGTCATTGGACTTTGCCGGCGCATCCAGGCGAAGCTTTGTGCTGCAAGTCCTGCGGGACGCGCAGCCGAAGCACGCGCGGTGAATTGCACGCTGGGCTGATCCGGCGCCGTCGGTGGCTGCATCAGCCCGCGCAGCGTTTCTTGGAGAAACTGTGACGCAAGAGGAGTCGAGCAGACCTTTCTTGGCTCCCGAAGGCCATCCGGTTCCTTAGCTTTTTAGGTCTTTAGGGTTAGTGGGGGGGTGTCCATTTAACCCGCTAAGAGTTATTCACTTTTAGCAGAAGATCCGAAAACGGATCGGCGGCCCAGCTTTGCCAGGCTAACATGGCAGCTCCCAGGACTCGTTTGGAAGACTTGAGTCCAGAGCATACTCTTCCCCAGACGAACGCGGAAACTAGACTTTTTGGAAGACTTGGTTCCATGTACAGTGTAGAAACTAGGGCAGGACAATGCAGGACAGTATCATTATCCAACTTTCATATTCAGAAGCTTGTGGCCTGATTGTGGTCTCTCCCTGCCCCTGTGTCTCCCTGTTGTCCCTCCCTGTCTCTCCCTGTCTCTCCCTGTCTCTCCCTGTCTCTGTCTGTTTGTCTCTCTCTGTTTGTCTCTCACTCTCGCTCTCTCTCTCTCACTCTCTCCCTCCCTCCCTCTCTCTCTCTCTCTCTCTCTCCCTCTCTCTCTCTCTCTCGCACTCTCCTGTCTAGATTTGTGTAATTGGGCGCCATGTGCGAACAAATTCCCCGCGCCAAATTGCTCACCAGTGCCCATTGCCCAGCCCGCACCGTGTGGTGTTTGCCGTTGCCGCTCATCGCTGCTGGTAGTGTGCCTTCCTGGCACAACCTGCCTGGCAGGCCGGAGATTGCAACATCTGCAATTTTGAAACGTGTTCCCACTAGTTTGTTTGTTTGTTTGTTTTGATTCGGTTCGGTTCGGCTCGGTTCAGTTCGGTTCGGTTCGGTTCCGTCCGGTCCGGTTGGTTGGTTGGTTGGTTGGTTGGTTGGTTGGTTGGTTGGTTGGTTGGTTGGTGTGTCTGTTTGTTGTTGTGCTTTCTTTGTTCTTTCTTTCTTTCTTTCTTTCTTTCTTTCTTTCATTCTTTCTTTCTTTATTTCTTTCTTTCTTTCTTTCTTTCTTTCTTTCGTTCCTTCTTTCTTTCCTTCCTTGTTTGTTGGTTGGTTTGTTTGTTTGTTAGTTTGCAACAAAGTTCCGGATGTGTGTTTCAGATATTGATCCGGGGGCGTTCAAGAATCACAGGACACGTCTGAGCTGTTTTCCGCATGGCTGGGGCTCAAAATTTTCCGCAGGTTTTTGGCCACTGACCGATCGGGCTACCCATTTTGGAATTCCTCGGTTGGTTGCCACAGCCACATGTTCGACTGATCCCAAGCCTTGGACACAACGCTGCCCAATTGGAACTGTGAACTAGGGGTCGGCGCTTAGCCCCGGTTGGTTGGTTGGTTGACTGGTGGGTTGGTGGGTTGGTGGGTTGGTGGGTTGGTGGGTCGGTTCTCGGTTGCTCGGTTGCTTGGTTGCTTGGTTGGTAGTCGCATCCCCAGCATCCCGGCCGGTTTTGGGGTAAAGCGCTGAATTCCAGGCTGAAGTTGGGTGGGTTCAGGCTCGGCTTTGGGTGGGTTTGGGGCTGGCTTGGAGCTGATGTGTGCTGCGCGTGCAGCAGTGAGTTTGGCCCTCCTAGCGCAAATCTGCTCGAAGCCAGCCCCAAAAAGCCAGCCCTAAGCCCAAATGTCCCTGGGCTCCCCCCGTCCCTGGAACAATGGAGCCAGTCAGCGCGACCCTCCTCACTGGCAAAATGGACTTCCTAGATCCAAGGCCGTTACCCTTTGAGCTGGGAAGAGCTTGGTTAGGGGAACCGCCCTTGTTGATGTACAAGGCTAAGGTTTTAATTTGAGAATTTCAGCAACCGCCAAAATAGTTGGACACTGCCTCAAAACAGTCGCAATAAAGAGGATCAGGGCCTCTTGTGGGCAGCCCCCTTTGCGTGACTGTTTGCCTTTACATTTGTGTAAAGAAGTTATATTAAACTTGATGGTTTGGGGGCCAAATCAAAAAAGGAATTCCTAATGCTTGCCCACATTTGTTTGCCTGTTTTTTGCCCGACTTGCTTGGCCAGTTGCTTTATGATAGAGAGCCCCAAAACAGTCACAGGATCCTGAATTGGGAAAACAACTTGACACAATAGAGGCCCCCATCATTAAAGCGGGTGCAACAGTATGTGAACCCTCAAGCAACCCAAGGCCCGCCCTCATTCAGATCAAATTCAGGCTGAAACCTAAGTCCCAACCGCCACCAAATTCAATTCAGAGTCAATAGGCAGCGGTAGGTCCGGGTGAGGCGGGCGATGCATGTGGCCGACTGAGGCTGGTAAAAAAAACCGGGCCTAGCAAAAGGTAGGCCCAGATGGTATCCCCACCCCTGGAGCCTTCCGGAACCCTCCACAACTCTCCCTGCCCCAGGCCAACCCTTGCGAGCCTATTTGGAGGGTCAAAAGCCCGTACCCCCAGTGAACATCCCAATCCCCACTATAGACTAAAGTGGGTGGTGCACCTATCCCCAAAAATGGGATCCAAAACGGTTTTGACCCACAGCCCACATCTCTGATGGTTTCCGCCCCGAAACCTAACCAGCAGCTGAGCTTCCCCTCTCAAGCTTGCCGAGCAGGTCATCTCGCCAAAACCATTCGGAGAAAAGCTAGAAATTTAAATGTTTGCTCCCA